ACATTTTTAAAGTTGCGAAAAAGGTAGACTCAATGCATAACAAAGACATCCCGAAACCAATGAAGTTTTTCCAAGCGGTTCTTCTACTGGAAAAACCGCTGAGCTGAAAATCTCCCCAGAAGATTTCAGGATCACCGGGAGGCTGAGTATCGAGCTATGCAACATTGGTCAAAGAAAAGGAGATATTGCTATCTGTATCAGTGGAGAACCATCCCTGAATCAGCAAGCATTCCAGGTACATGAATGGAAACAGCAAGTATAAACAACTGACTCAGAATGCCAGAGACGGCGCTCGACATGTACTTCATCTTCGTAGCTTCGAGGATTTCTCAACAAAAATACTGTGTGCGTTTTCTTACAGCAAGTAAGTTAGTGCAATCAGTGATCCGCAAAACAGTGCGCTTGCGCTTCGCATTAATTTTTTGCGGTGACTAACCATTTTACGATGTGCGGCAATTACAGTGGGCGCAGCAACGAAACAGTTCATATTCCGATGATTCGTCTCAACAGGCAATTCAAATGCATACAGTAACGCATCGTTCGGATAAGCAGACACTGAGCTGCTATCATCATCAACTGCTTCATTTACTTCTTGCTGAATGAGGAACAATCAGAATTTTAAGAACTCACCAAATTTTTGAATAAATCAACAAACGATCCAACTAACTGTTTACAGCCACAGCTAAATCATAAAAATAGTTTCAGGATACTCTTGAAACAAATAACAGGCGCATGCAACAAAACTGTTACCGCACAAAGCAAGTGGTAACCCTAATAGTGATAATGACTATAATCAAAAAAAAAAATGACTGAGGCAAATTCACAAAAAAATAGTTCTCAGTCATTCTAATCAGCACGACTCAATTTTCAAGAAGCGGAAACTACCCGATCGTCTAGCACTGCTGAAAAGGAAGTAAACAAACCATCATTTGACCCGATCGATTCAGACAGAGGATGCGGAACGAACTCGGACATAATTCACAGCACGCCGATAGTTCTTTCTTGAACATTCCTATTTTCGTGTCGTAGCTCAGCCGAAATGCATATCGCACTGGGATTTGCCCATCACGCTTCACTACTGGAATATAACGGCACGTGAATTTATGAGTATAAACAATGAAAGGTCTAGAAATGAGTAACGTATGAGGGATTTCAAATGAGAAAGCCGGTATTCCTGACTATGCCTATGCTTCCAGGACCTTCTTACATTTTCATCAAGAAACTAGCGCCAGCTACATCTGCACTTAGAGTCTGGCACTTTTCAAAAAAAACCTTTTACCAATTCCCTCCAACCAACTAATCGCTAAAGTGCAAGCCTGGAAGAATCTGT